AGAAACGAGATAGACTGAATGAAAGAAATCTTATTCATCAACCCAACTGCTCATCTTCACTGTCCCTGCAGGAAATCTTTCCTGAGCTATGTTTCTTTCTGTTGCTCGTGTTACTGTAAAGGCCTGTTCATCCAATTTGAAATACATCTGATATATCCTCAGTTGTACACCTAATGCCAGACGCGTGTACATGTTGCAAACAAATAATCAATTTAATTGTCGGGGTTACAGGGCAAAATTATGCAAAATTAAGTTTAAAGAATATTTTAAGTGGTTCTGAGATAGGAAAACCCATCAGCTCGTGAAGAAAAGAGAGTGTTGCCTCGGAAAATAAGATAGACAAGAATTGATGCGTAAGAAGCTGCGACGAGGCAGACAACTACTCCCAACAGCAATCCGTGAACTTCAGATACAAAGAAGTCGACCAAAACATATCCATTCACAAGTATGACCAATGCAGCCACGCCCCACGAAATCCTCTGCAGTAAAACACACACATCTAGCTAAAGGATTTATGTCTACTCAATGCTACAAAAGAAACATAAAAACCGAAATTAATGTACCTTGACAGCAGTTCCAATCATAAAAGCGCCCATAATATGCTCACTCGACACCAAATGGAGAAGAGGGAGGACTGCAAATGGGATCTGCATCGCCTGAAGCACATTTAGCCACTCATTAAGAACATCGAGCAACTCCTCGGATCTATTAAATGCAATAGCCACGATAACCGTAGGCAATATGGCACAACTCCTTGTGATCAATGACCTCACCCATTTCTTGATCTCAAGGTTGAGAAAACCACCCATAATAAACTGCCCGGCATAAGTACCTGTGATGGTCGAGCTCTGCCCGGCCGCGAAAAGCCCGATGGCCCAAATGTACAGAATCGGGAGAAGCCCGCCACCGTATCTCTTCTCAAGATATTCACCTGCGTTCACTAGGCCCAAACTATCGGCCTCCACACTTCTGTAAAATCCCTTTGCAAATACGGCAGTCACAAATAAATTGATCACGAACGAAACAAAAACGGCCATCACGGACTCTATCGTGTAGTAATTGAGAGCCTCTTGTACCCTGCCTTTCTTCTTCAAGTCGATTTTTCTCGACTGGACTAAGGCGGAGTATAGGAAGACGTTGTATGGGGTGATGACGCAGCCGATGACTCCGATTGCTTTTGGGATTGTCTCTGGACGGAGCTTGGGTATCAATATTCCTGGGGATATATCATTATTATTATTATTATGATCAAGGAACACTTTTTAAATACAATAAAAAAAAAAAAAAAAATCAAAAAAAAAAAAAAAAATCCAGAAACCTTCTACGAGATCTCTCCAACTAGGTTTCGTTTCGAAAAACATCCATGCAAATGAGAAAGCCATACTAGTGATGAGGACGGCGAAAAAGGCTTCAAGCTTTCTGATGCCATAGTTCTCGAGGAACAAGAACATGAAACTGTTAAAAGCATTGTATAAATTAAAAACGGAGAAGCATTAATTCATCAATCATCCTCACAAAAACTCATTTGACCATCGTTCACATTTGAAATGTGAAATACTCTATGTGATGGAACAGAACAACTTAAGTTCAACACCTTGAACTAGTAAAACGAAAACAAAAACATAAGCTCATGACAAACCCAAGTGGACAAATAAGATAGTAAACAACAGCCTAAATTAGGTGGCCATTAAACTGGCTGAAACGTATCAACATGTTTGTAAGCAGGCAGACTTATAAAAGGTTATTTATCAACTATTAGACATTGGAACCAAAGTCCTTGCAATCCAAAATGTCTACAGATAGAAATCACTATAAAATAAGTGCACGTAAACTTTGTCCTAGTGTCTGGAGCTGGAGCAATGTATGGGAAGCAAAACCGAGATGAAAATACCTGAGGGGGAAAAGAGTAACTGAAACTTGCTCGATGTGTAAGTTGTAAATATATGAATTTGATTTTGATATTAACAGACATCATGATCACATGACACTGTACATTGATGCTATAACACTTAGCATAGCTAGTACAACTCTAACTTTTAGTTTCATTCACCAACTTAATCACACAAAATTCATTATGACTATGGTTCAGAATAGGATTTTTAGTATCACCTGTCTTGGAAAATAGAGCTGAACCAAGATTCACTATATTATTAATTAGGCTCGTCATCTGAAATTACCACGACGCACTATCAATATTATTTTCAGTACTAAGAGTTAATTAAGTTTAATCCCAGCATAAACATCTCTAAACTGTCCATTTTTTAAAAAAATGAAAAGGTAGAGAAATAAATGAGTAGAACGCACACAATTACATATCCAAAAAGGAAAGGAAAACAAAAACAATGAAAATGAATAGAAAAGATACCAATCAAAACCAGTAATGAGTGAGCCAGCCCAAAGGGGCACGGCCCCATTGCTGAGTATCCTGAGAGCAATAGCACTCCCAATAACCTCCTGAATGTCCGCCGCGATGAGGGCAAGTTCCGCCATGAACCAGAGCATCACCGCGGCCCAGTGTGGGTACTCTTCCCTGCAAATCTCGGCCAGGTGGCGGCCTGTAGCTACGCCCAGCCGCAGAGATAACAATTGGATGAGGAGGCCCATAACAGTGGCCCACATCAGAAGCCACAACAGCGAGTAGCCCGCTACCGCCCCAGATTGCAGATCGCCTTCCAGATTCCCCGGATCCAGAAAGGCAACGCTCATCAAGAATCCGGGCCCGGTAAATTTCCAGAGCTTCCGCCAGGAAAACGGAGGTACAGAGACGCCCGGTGAGGATTCGGGTTGCTCGATCTCCACCGCGTGGAGTAGGATGCTTTTTTCTAGGGTTTCGTTGGCGACGGGCGGAGGCGGCGCGGTGGGGGAGGACGGAGGAGGAAGGAGGGGATTGGTGTCGGCATGGCGGTGGTGGTGGTGGAGCGTAGTCGGGAAGGTGGCGGGATTGTTGGGGTTGAGGCTTGTAGGGGAAGAGGTCATCGGCTGATTTGCATGAGATTTATTTTATTTTATTTTATTTCTTGTGCTCTGATTTGGCGTGAGAAGCTTTTATTTGAGGGTTAATTGCATCAGACTTCCTTGTATTATACTAAATCTGCGCGTTATCCCCTGTATTTTAAAAAATGCATCAAATCCTCCTATATTGTACTTTGCCCAGCATACGCTCCCCAACTTATGTATGGGTGCTAGCACCGTTACATTTTTGTCAAACATCACATTCTGCCCTTGTCATTTGAGAAGTCGGTCCCATTTGAAACAGAAAATATTCTAACTTTGAAATTGTTATCTCTCTCTCTTCTCTCTCTCTCTCCCCGAAAAAACCCCAAATTTCTTCACCACGATTGTCCAAAATTTTGCTAATTTTCAACTATTAATTTGTAAAGGTATCGATGGCGCATAACAGATGTGTTATTTATCTTCAATGTTGAAGCCGATTGAGGAGTATTCTTTGATATTCCAAATCTAGGGTTCTCTTTGCAGCAAAATTCTTTCTTCTCGAAGACATATATCGGTGGCGCATAAGGTACTTTTCGAATCCTCGACGATTAAAGTTTATTACATTGAAAGCCGATAGTTGCATTCCTGAAATTTGATTTCTTATGCTATGTGTTTTGGAAAATATGATTTTTGGTCAAGTGAAGTGTCGTGCTTGTGATTTTAAAATTGGAGAAAGTCGATTGCTTCATTTGTAAAATTCTGAAAAGTCGATATCTTCTGATTTAAAATTAGGGTTTTTTTATTTGAAATTTAGGGTTTTCTAATTTGGAAAATATGGAGTTTCGATAGCTTCATTTTGATAGTAGAGAAAGTCTATAGCTTCTGATTTGAAAATTAGGGTTTTTCGATTTGAAAATTAGGATTTGTCGATTTGAAAATTAGGGGGTTTTGATTTGAAATTTAGGGTTTTCTAATTTGGAAATTAGGCCTGGACGATAGCTTAATTTTCAAAGCAGAGAAAGTCGATAGCTTCTGATTTGAAAATTAGGATTGTTAGTCAATTTCTTGCTTTTGATTTTTAAATTAGGGTTTTCTGATTTGGGAATTGGGGTTATTTATTTTATATTGTCTGTAAGTCGAATTGTGGTCCTTGTGTGAAATTTTGTACTTTGAAATGTATTGATGTTGTCTGTTGGAACAATTTGTGGTCATGTGTGATGCGTCTTTGTTCTTTGTTTAATGTATCCTCTCTGTAGGTTGAATTTGTGGTCATGTGTGATGTATATAGTATTCTATTCATGTTGTGCTCTCTGATTTCATATTTTAATCATATCATACTTGTTGATTTGCAGAATATGTCTATTGTATTTGATGTTAGAGTTGGTGGGGAGATAAAATATCATCCATTTGCGCACTACTTTGGTGGTCTAAGAGTTGCAGTTGACTACTATGATGTGGACAGATCGTCCTACTTTGAGTTGATGGATGTGTACAGGCAGGCAGGTGGCAAATCATCCGTTGTGGACATTTATTCACACAAGCCTGGAAAAACTCTACAAACAGCAAAGAAGTTCATGAAGATTGCCACTGACAGTGATATTTTGAAGTTGGTGAAAAAGTATACAGGTGTAACGTCCCGTTATTTTTAAAGAATTTATCGAATTAATTAATAAAAATCAGAGTTTTTTTTTTTAAATACAATTTAAAACATTTGTCGAGAAACGGGCGCTACTTACTAACAACAACAAACAACACACATCCAACAATTCAAGGAACCTACACAAGCTCGAGCTAACGATATAACAAATCCCATAAAACATAAGTCTCAAAAAACCATTTCAAAAGGTCTAGCATTATTCAAGGTTCAACCAACTTAACATAGTTAGAAAAGTGAAAGTAGTAAACAAATAATCCAAGTGCATTAGCAAATAAATAAATATTCAGTTTATACGGAAGCATAGGTTTTCAACACATAATGACCACCATCTCGCTCGTCCTACGCCACCGCCTCCAGCTCGTCTAAACCTAAAACAAAGGAAGAGAGAAAAACAACAAGAAAATAATGGGGGTGAGCATAACCAACAAGCTCACCATTATCGCACAGTATATCTCGCATAACATTTTAAACCATCATAACCATAGTATTCAGTATGCATAGAATCCAACAGTCTAACTCCCTACTTGGCCCTATCGCAAACCTCCTATGTACATACAACAACCTTCCGATCACACACGGCAAGGAAGTAACTGGAAACCTTCCCATCACCGAATGGCTACGGGCCTGGGATCCTTTCCAGGAGACAGTAGAGATGTTTTTCCCATTCACGAATATCATACGGACCTGGGCGTCACCTCTCCGAATCTACGGGCCGATGACCTCTCACTGTTTATGCATCCTCAAAGGCACTAACATACGGGACACTCAGACTAGGGTTCTCACGCATACATCATTTTTCAAAACAAAGCATTTATACGAAATATTAAGTGCGATAAATATGGAATACATCATAAATGTACCCACCTGATAGCAGCTACAGTTCAAACCACAAATCTCGAGACGAGGCGAGGTTCAACACCTCTCGACACCTACATTAAGTCCAGATACTAAAGTCAACACTTTAATCTAGACCTATGTAGCAATTTCACAAGTTGACTTAGGCGAACTCGGTTCGACCAAGTGGTTCGTGAAGTTCTGTGGATATGGGAACACTAGGACTTAGACTCGATCAAACCACACATTCAATTTCACATAATCACCAATGAATTCCAATCAAACAGGTCACAAATAAACACGTAGCACATTTAGTCAACAACACTTAACAACTTCCAGTTTAGCAAAACAATCTCTCAAATTCCCACTTGAACTTGAAGGCATATCAAACTTATGAGTCAGGCTCTGAAAATTTTACACAAAATTCACCTCCTAGTTTTAAGAAAAATGACCAAGTTTCAGCTTCCAACTCATTGTACATAATTTTATAAAATTCAAACAAGTTTTTCAACAAACATGAGTTTAAATTAAAAGCACATAATAATGGACGATTCAAGCTATGAAATTTTTATCTAAAATACTACAGCATATGAACAGCATCACATAAATTTTCCAGCCTTCAACACTCAGGATATCAATTTATAAAAATTAAAACAACATTCAGCCAAATATAGCAATTATATCAAAATTGGTCACAAATGAACTCCAAAAATTCCAGAATTCTTACAGCATGCTAAACATCACATAATAAGCACTTATACAAATTTTCAGAATTTTTCAGCTCCAGAACAATTTATAATAATTAAAACAAATTTTGGGCAGAATCACAAAATAATTTGTTAACCCTACCAAACCTAGTTCAAAAATTCTAAAACTTTTACACAACATATAATCAAGCCTGAAACATAACATATTCGACAATTGGCCAGAAACGAACACTACACAATTAATTATGCATTTTACAAGAAACTCAACAGAAAATAAATTAATTTTTAAAAATAGCTAAACACCTTTAAAAATTATGAAACTTTCACAGCAGCTACATATTCATCAGACACAGCTGCTCCTAAAATTTCAAGGAAATTGGACCAGTATTCGATTTATAATGAATTTTTCAATCTAAACAGCAATTATAACTTTCGAAAAATCATAACTATCAATCTACAAGTCCGATCGACACAAGGTCAGCGCCATTGTGTTCGTAACAATCCTAAGTTCCTAAATCCACAGAAACTAATCACTTATACTCAGTTCTCGCTCGATTCACACGAATCGACGAGTGTCACATAAAATAGCGAATATAAATACACAACGAACAATTCGAACACGCATATAACAATTCAACGAACACGAAATACACACATGATCACGACACAATTCATGTATAGTTAAAACGAGAAGTCGAGACTCGATACCGTTCTCGGGAAACGAGCGAGAAAGGTTCAAACGAGAGAAGACGGCTCGACGGGGCTCGACGGCTATGCGCGGCTCACCGAGGGAAGAGCTGCAGTGGTCCCTCATGATTACGGGGTTGCTGCGACGGTCGAGGCGTCCCGTCGGCGGTGGTGCTGCGAAGGAAGAGATTCGCCGGAAAAACTGAAGCTAGCCGGAAAATCTCACGTGAATAGGGAGGAGCTCGCCGGAGATGCTTTTGCAGAGGTAAGGATACGACGACCTGCTGCGAAGGAGGGGCGCTCGTCGCTGCTGGATTCACGTCGGCTCGCGGCGGCTCGCGGCGGGAGAAGGTAGCGGGGGTCGCCGGGGATTGTTCTCGTCGCGGGGAGGTTTGCTTACGATGACGGGGCTGTTGAACCTCGTCGGAAGTCACTAGTGCTCAATGACGGCCGGACTTACAGGCTTCACGGTGGTCCTGAGATGGTGGCGAAAGTCCACGAAGAAGAAGATGATGGCTTGCCGGATTGCGTCGGAGAAGGTGGCGACGAAGCTTGGCGATGATGATGGGAGGGAGATGGTGAGGGTGACGAGATTTGTTCTCTGATGCACGAGATCGAGAGAGCTTGAGGGGCGATCAGATTTTGAGCGAGAGAGGATGAGAATTTGCGGCGATGGATTTAGGCGAGAGGAAAGTGATTGAGAGCGAGCGGCATAAAATATGTTCAGAGAAGGAGATGGATATAGAAATTGTATATATATATATACCAAATAAAATTAGGTTTGACTTTTCTTTAATCACAAGAAAATTCCACACGCACACACATCACGGGAGGAAAATCTGTCGGGCCGGGCCCAACTCGGGTCGCGGGCTATTGTGGGCCGGGGCACCGGTCCAATACATACGGTTCTCTCGGGCTGAAACTCTCGATTTATTTTGCCAAAATAAAATGACTCGATTCGCGCGAATATTATCGGGCTCGATATAAACTCAAATGCACGTTAAAATAAACCGAATAATAAATATATTTTACATATATTAATACGCATTTAATAATTAATCACAAAATTATTTAGACAATTAGACAATTTATCATTTAATCACATTTAGGCAATTAATATTAGGCACTCAATATTAATATTAATAACATCAC